AAGGACCGAGAAGCCTGGTGGTAGGAGCGTGCCAGTGAGTTGGAAGCAGCAGCTGCATCTGGTAATTACTGGAAGCTCTTCCAACTCATCCGAGCCACTGGCAGCAAGAAGTTTGGTGTGAGCGAAACAATCTGCGAGGATGACGGAACGCCAATCACTAACATCCATCGACGTCTTGGACGATGGGCAGAATTCTTTGAAGGGCAGTTCAACTGGCCTGCTGCTCCGGCAACATCGGTCAGACTGTCCTGCCCTCCATGGCCGGTGACGACCGATCCACCAAATGAGGCGGAAGTCCGCAAGGAACTCCAACTCTTGAAACGTTACAAATCACCGGGCCCAGACGACTTACCTCCGGCTCTTTTTAAAGATGGTGGTGACTTTCTGACTAAGGGACTGACGACGTTGTTTACAAAGATCTGGGAACTAGAGTGTGTACCAACGTCATGGAATGAGTCGATAGTTGTCCCTATCTTTAAAAAGGGTTCACGTTGTTCCTGTAACAACTATCGGGGGATAAGTCTACTTCCGATTGCGTCCAAGCTATTGGCTTCCGTCATACTTGGTAGGTTGTTCAGGACCCGAGAAGGATTGACTCTCGAGGAGCAGGCTGGGTTTCGTTCTGGTCGAGGATGTATTGATCATATCTTCACCCTCCGCCAAGTGTTAGAACACCGCCATACTTATCAAAGGCCAACAATCGTAGTGTTTCTTGATATCAGGGCTGCCTTCGATTCGTTGGACAGAACTGTTCTCTGGGATTGTCTATTGAAGAAGGGTGTGCCTGAGAAGTTTATTAACATCCTAAAAGCTTTATACACAAACACCTCAGGCAGAGTGAGGGCATACAATCACCTTTCTCCACTATTCCATTCGAGCAGTGGGGTTAGGCAGGGTTGCCCAATCTCACCATTCCTCTTCAACTTTGCCATCGATGACATTCTGGAAACAGCTCTGACGGATGTAAGTAATGGTGGTGTGGATCTGTTGCCTGGAGAAAGACTTCTCGACCTTGAGTATGCGGATGATATTGTCTTACTGTGCGAGAATGCCCAAGCTATGCAATCCGCACTTAATCAGTTGGCAATCAGTGTCCGTAGGTATGGTATGTGCCTTGCACCTTCGAAGTGCAAAGTACTTCTACAAGACTGGCAGGATTCTAATCCTGTACTCACTCTGGATGGTGAGCAGATTGAAGTAGTCGAGAAGTTCGTGTATCTAGGTAGCTGCATAAGTGCTGGTGGTGGCGTGAGTGATGAGATCAATGCTCGTATAGTGAAAGCCAGAGCGGCTTATGCCAATCTGGGCCACCTTTGGCGCCTTCGTGATGTTAGTCTGGCTGTAAAAGGTCGGATCTACAACGCGACGGTGAGAGCAGTTTTGCTCTATGCTTGTGAAACCTGGCCTCTCCGAGTTGAGGATGTTAGACGACTCTCTGTGTTCGATCATCGTTGTCTCCGAAGGATTGCTGGCATCCAGTGGCAACACCATGTCAGTAATGCAGAGGTTCGGCATCGAGTGTTCGGTCACAGAGACGATAATGAAATTGGTGTCACCATCTTGAAACACCGACTTCGGTGGCTTGGACATGTTCTACGAATGTCGTCCCAGAGAATTCCACATCGTGCATTATTTGCCTACTCTGGGACTGGTTGGAAAAAGCGGAGAGGTGGTCAGTATAAGACATGGTGTCGTGGTATGAAAGAAAGCTGCAAAGGGCTAGCTTCTGTTGGTCCTTCACGACTCCATGGTTGGGGTCCGAGAGACGGTGTAACGCAGTGGCTAGAGACGTTATCAGATATGGCTAAGAATAGAAGCCAGTGGCGATCGTGCTGTAACCTCTTACTTTCTTCATAAAAAGTGTTTATATCTTCCTTAACTGAAAGATCTCTTCTGATTGTACCTTTCCGTTTCCCCCACCATTGTTCTCTCTCTCCCTTTTTTTTTTTATAATTCCCCACGTTCATTACTTTTTTTTTTCTCTTTCCTCCTTCTCTTCAAATTATCATTGTTTTGTGTGGCGCATATATATTTGGTGCCCCTCTGTACCAATATTTATGTGTTCAAGTAAATAAATAAATAAATAAATTTCACTGTAAATCTTTAATAATATTTGATCCTTTTGTGTTCACCTTTTAAGGACAAGAAAGTGTTAGATAGTATTTGATATTTTGTGGCAATGTTGTAGTTTTAATAACATTTAACACTGATGTTATAGGATTTATTTTTTACGTAGTAAATAAGCTGTCTACTCTCTCCCTTCCTCTTTCTTCTTGTGGTCGACTGGATTATGAAGACCTGAGGGATCTCAGGGAAAACACGGAATACAATAGACAGCTCAGAACCAATTAGACGATTTAGACTTCGCAGGTGACTTAGCCCTCCTATCGCATACACACGAACAAATGCAGATAAAGACAGCCAGCATAGCAGCAGTCTCTGAATCAGTAGGGCTCAACATACACAAGGGAAAAACCAAGATCCTCAAATATAACACGGAGAACAGCAAACCGATCATTCTTGATGGCGAAACTCTGGAAGATGTATAATCCTTCACATACCTGGGAAGCATCATCGATAAACAAGGAGGTTCACATGCAGACGTAAAGGCGAGGATTGGCAAAGCAAGGGCAGCATTCCTTCAATTAAAGAACATATGGAACTCAAAACAACTTTCAATCAATATCAAAGTCAGAATCTTCAATACGAACGTCAAGGCAGTTCTACTGTACGGAGCTGAAACTTGGAGAACTACAACAACCACCATCAAGAAGGTACAAGTATATATCAATAGCTGTCTACGAAAGATACTTAACATCCATTTACAGGATACCATCAGCAACAGCCTTTTGTGTGAAAAAACCAACCAGCTTCCAGCTGAAGAGGAAATTAGGGAAAGACGATGGAAACGCATAAGTCATACATTACGCAAATCATTAAACTGCATCACAAAGTAAGTGCTAACTTGGAACCCTAAAGGGAAGTGGAAGGCCGAAGAACACACTACGTCGGGAAATAGAAGCGGATATGGAAAGGATTGCTTGTGATAGGGTTGGATGGAGAATTCTGGTGAGCGGCCTACGCTCCTTCATGTGGAGTAACAGGCGTAAGTAAGTAAGTAAGCTGAATATAAATTATTTAGAACTGTCATCATGATTATGATAATAGTTTCAGTATTTTTTTATATGCCTTTCTATTTTGCTCTAGGATCATTCATCCGGTGGACGTCATTGACTATAACACATATGACAATGGTTCTATTTGATATTCCACTTACATTACCAACATCCAGGGTTTCATTCGATTAATTTATGGTTTCATTTCCAGTTAAAAAGAAATCCTACACGAATCAATTCTCCCGGATATCTTACTAGTTTTGTTATGAATTTTCATTATTTCTAAACTTATTCGTGTGTTGTTCTTATTCATTTCTTCTCTTAACCTCGGATGATGATTATTATTCTTCTAATGTACACATTCAGAACTTTTTATTGAAGGTTGCATTTTATCCGCTCTCTGTATGCGGTTTTTTTTTGTTTCTTTATTTTAAAGAAAAAAAATAATAATAAATTATGGAAATTTATTACATTTTTGCCTTTTAAACATATTTATATAATAACGGTAGTTTGATGATGATGATGATGACGATGATGATGATGATAATGCCTTACTTAATAAAAGGAAATAATGTACAATGAATGTGATCTTATTGTCTGTATGTAAATTTTTGTATTTTAATCAATAAGTTATTAGTATTGATATATTTATAAATCAAGAATTCTACTAGTTTTGCCTTTTTTAAAAAAGTTAACAGTCTTATTCTGAACTAACAAAACATCATGACTAAACATTCAATTGTAAGATAGTAACTTATTGATGACAATGGTGGATGTATCGCTCAGTTTTGTCGATTAGTTGAAGTTAGAATATTAACACCAGTGGATATCGTCCGGCTCAATGGTCTAGTTGGTTAAGCGCCTGGCGCGTGATTGATAGGTTCTCGGTTCAAATCCCGCGAGGCGGGGACCTGGATATGCACTGGTGAGGAATTCCACAATAGGACGAAACGGTCATCTAGTGCTTCGAGTTATTCTATGATGGTCTAGCTTCAATTGACACATGATCTCAACAATTTAAACTCAATTAATGTATTCACATCCTATTGACGATTCTTAAGAACGGAAGTTGATTTATCTTAGTATTGTAAGTGGTAATTCAATGTAGATGTTTCATTCACCATTCATGTTGAATATACAGTGGTTAGAAAAAGAAAATCACATCAGTTCTATTTCTATTGGTAATTAAGGAATTATCGAAGATATGTAGTTTGTTTTGAACAAAACTATTTCGTGACTTCAACTTCCCTGGTACGGCCGAGAGTTGGGAGAGTCCGCTCTCCCTCTCGAAATGCTCTCACATGGCCACGCGCATATAGCCTCTCTCAGGGAAGTCCGACTCACTGCTTTCTCGCGTCACGGGTGTTTACGAAAATGAGAGGACGAAAAGCGAATGTCTGGCGCTTTAACCGGATGCCAAACCAATGTTGCACATGGGCTGGCTCCAGTATTCTGAGGGAACAAATGGCGTATGAACCAATCGTTGGTCAGTGGCTACCATGAGACTGCATCTCCTTACGATGCTCCACTGCCTTGTAGATCAGATCTCCGGGTCGAAGGCTCGTGGTGTGGCCCTCTAAGAAAACCACCTGCTTCGGTTTGGGCACCCGGGCAGTATCATAGCCCTCACATATATCAAATAAGATTTGTGTGGCGCATGTGTATTTGGTGCATCCTTGTACCACTATCTATGTGTTAAATAAATAAATAAACTAATTAGTGAAGTATTATCTTGCCGATTAATATACTATCATTTCTATATATCTACCGAAATTAGTAGGAGTCCAAACTTTGGGTCTACAGTAGTAGTTTTCCTCTATTCACTGAAATAATTAGTAGATAACTTTACAAACTTCTGGCGAATTCTTTTATTAATCTGTGCCAATGATTAAAAACTTTAAACAGAATTTCAGTATGACAACTTCGTCGGTGCGTTTTTTATCTTAATGCAGATGAATTCTCGTTATCAGATTTGATCGCCCTTTTGGATAACATCCGAACAAACTTCAAATTGAAGTGTGCTGTTCGAATTTTTACTCATCCTTGTCGACCTAGATGGCGATTGGTTGTTTCTGACGATTGTCTGATCTACGTCCTCAGAATTCTGAATAGCTTGATTCTATTCGAATTCTGTACTCATGTCCAGAAGATCAGTCAGCTGCAACGTAGGACCAGGCACGTATATGCATCGGTTCAAGTTGCCATAACGCATTAGCACAACAAGATGAACACCGGATTCATAGGAGTAGCTAATTCAGTGGTGGTAATATATAGAAGAAAGATTGTGTATAAGGAGATAGTACAGGAAGAAAGAATTAGTACGTAGAAAGAAAGATATGAAGTGATTTTAATCTCTTAGTTTAAAGGAAGACAGAGAGTGTATGCACCTACGCCATTGTGATCGATTCTGAGCCATGTCACCAAGAGTCTCCAACCATTGGTTACGATAGTCATGCGGACCCCAACTAGGTAGTCTGCATCTACCAACATGGCTCAGACCAGAAGTTAGTGACTTCAAGCACTGATGCCACGTTTTGGTTTGGCCGCCCCTAACTTTCTTCCAATTATCCCCTACACTAGTCAGCATTGCGCGTCCTGGTAATCGGTGTTCAGGCATACGCAGCACGTGGCCTAACCATCTCAGTCGATGAAGATTCATAACCTCATCAACTGATTTGCCATCATTCCCTAATACCTTGCGTCTAACCTCACTATTACTTACCCGGTCACGTAAGTTGGCAAAAGCCCATCGAGCTTTTCGAATCGGTGCTGAGATTTCGTCAGACACCAACCCATTAGGGCTGATCAGACTTCCAAGATAAGTGAAGTTGTCGACGCGTTCGACTACTTCACTCCCTATCCTTAGTTCAGGTGTTGACGCAGACCAGTCCTGAAGCAACAACTTGCATTTAGAGGGAGAAAAGCGCATCCCAAACATCCTAGCATTGTTGCTCAGTGCTAGCAAAAGACTCTGCATTTCATCAGCGTCTTCACCAAACAGGACTATGTCATCTGCGTATTCTAAGTCAATAAGTGGACCTCCTGGTAGGAGATCAATGCCCGAAAATTCAGTCGATGAGAGCGTTATTTCCATCAGGATGTCTATGATGAAGTTGAACAAAAACGGAGAAAGTGGACAGCCTTGACGGACCCCACTTGAGGTTGCAAAAGCGGATGACAGTTCGCCATAGGCTCTGACCCGACTAGTAGTGTTCGAGTAAAGAGCCTTCACAAGGTTTATGTACTTCTGAGGTACGCCTTTCAATGACAGACACTGCCACAGAACCTCTCGGTCAACAGAGTCAAACGCTGTTCTTAAGTCAAGGAATACCACCATTGTCGGACGCCGATAAGTATGCCTGTGTTCTAGAACATGATGAATGGTGAATATGTGGTCGATGCAGCCACGACCAGGTCTGAAGCCAGCCTGATTTTATCGTGTTTGCAGCTCATGAGTACTAGTCAGGCGTCCAATAATTATTGAGGCCAGTATTATAGGTGCTATATTAGTCAAACTTATCCCTCTATGGTTGTCACAGGATGATTTTGACCCTTTCTTAAATATAGGGACGATAAGTGATTGTGACCAGTTAGATGGGAAAACGTCTAACTCCCAGATTTTAGCTAAAATATTAGTCAACCTAGTCGCTAAAACTAGACCACCATCTTTAAAGACCTCTGGGGCCAATCCATCTGGACCAGCTGCCCTTCCTCGTTTCAGATTAGCTATAGCCTTTTGAACTTCAGCTTGAGTTGGGGGACCTACTTCAATGTTCCATTCACACTGTCTGGGAATAGAGGGTAGTTGTAGAGTAGCTGAAGGCCAGCTAAACTGCTCCTTAAAGTGTTCCGTCCATCGTTCTAAACGTCTGGACTGGAAGCAGATGAGAGTGTCGTTTTTTTCTGAAATAGTCTGACTAACACTTGATTTATTAATTCCAGTTTCTTTTATTAGTCTGTAGAGTTGTCTTGTGTTCCCTATAGCCGCCGCCTTTTCCATCTCTTTTGCTTTCGTTGCCCACCACTGCTCACGATCGTTCCTTAGACTTTTGCTTAATCTAGATCTGATTTCTTTACGCTCTTCATCGTATTCAGAACCTGATGGGATGAGTTTGCGAGAATCTATCAGTGCAATAGACCTTGACGAAATCCATTGGTTCTTTGTAACCCTGTGGTTTAAATCACTGGTAGATGTCACTGCTGTTTCCACAGCTGCTTGTATAACTTTCCAAGCAACATCTGGGTCAGCCTCGTTTTCAGAAGTACCTAAGTGTGACCTCAGTTGTTCCTAGAACCTACTTTTGGTTTTCTCATTACTCAATTCGGTTCTAATGAGTCTTTTTTGTGTGGCTCTTTTGCGTCCAGTGAGGCGCAAGCAGATGCGTGCTCGTACTAGGGCATGATCAGAGTCCAAGCAGGTACCCCAGAATGAGCGACAATCTTCTTTTAACCCTCTCCAACGATGACTGATGGTAATATGGTCTATTTGAGTCCATCGTTGGTTTGGTGCAGGGGGTCGCCACGTTAGACGATGTCTCTCCTTATGCTTAAAATTTGTGTTTGCTAAAAATAAATGATTGTCTGAGCAAAGTTGCAGCAGACGATCACCATTATCTGTTCGCTGTGCCGGAATACTAAAATACCCACCTAAATGTCTTTCTGTTTTGTTTAAGCTACCTACCTGGGCATTAAAGTCACCTCCTACGAGTACTATGTCTGAACGTTTAGCTTTCTGAAGAAGTTCAGACAGCTTTCTGTAAAATTCATCTTTCACTTCATCCGAACTGCAGTCAGTGGGAGCGTAGGCAGAAACGACGAAAAGGCAACGACGTGTGTCCCTATCCTTTCGAGTTCTTACGGAGCCGTTTAGCCGAACAGCGCATAGACGACTATTAACGGGAATCCACTCTAATAGCGCTTGTTCCGCCCTCATGCTAAGTGCTATGCCTACACCTACAAGTCCACGAGAACTAGCCATCGGGTCGCCAGATACACGGAGGGTGTATCTCGTCGGCACTCCGTTTTGCCGAGGTGAGGTCAAGTGAATGACCACACTGGGATCCTGTATGCGTGTTTCGGAGACACAGCATACATCAATCGTACGAGATTCTAAGGTTTTAGCCAAGGAAGCCTGCTGACCGATTTGGAATAGTTTGCGTACGTTGAAGGCTCCAATGTATAGTTTGGAGCGAGGTTTCAGTAGACCTGGGACAGTGTTTTGAGCACTAGAATCGTTGGTTGTGGTGACACTTGAGGAGGAAGCTAAAAGAGGGAGTTTAGATTTGAAAGTCGATGTAAGAGGTATAATAGGAATTGAAGAGGTAGGTTGATTATGAATACAGTGGTCTTGAGTGCTGTTAGAGGTATGAGAGCGGTTATCACTTCCCGGTTGCCCACACCGTGGAAGGGTTCTGCTGGAGGTACCTGAAAATGAAATTGGATTAGAGTTGGTCATAGTGACCTGAGAGCGTGACCGCAGTGCCCAAGGTACAGCTGCTTGAGGTCGGTCACACACGACCTTTTTATGAGTAGTTTTAGTGTTAGCTCCGTAATTGTTGAGTTCTTACCGCCGGAGACGGATATCCGTGGGATAAGGCGAGGTGTGCATTTTTAGGGTTGACCTTTTCTAACCCCACCCCTCCTTGTGGGAAGGCAGCATCGCTGTCATGCTGGTTTTCTGAAGGAAACACCTTACTGCTGTCACACCTCTGTACAGTCAGCAGTACGACTTCGCCTTCTGACCTAGGTTTTGTTGTTTTTAGTCTTACCGCTCTTCAACCGACCTGTCTGGCATGGTAGGACCTTGAGGAACGGTTGTTCCAGCCAGTATAGCTCAGTTGCTTCATCACGATAGGCATTTCCGACCACCACGTCAAGGTAGCAACAACGGTCAGGAAAAATCGATAAATGCTTTACAATTAAGCCTCTCAGCATAAAGAAATACATAATTTCTACTAGTCAAACTCGTAACTAGGGTGGTTCATTTGTAGTATTATGCATACAAACAGGTATTTTAAGAAAATCGTGAAATACAGAACTAGACCCACTGCTAAAACTTGTTTTAAAATTCCATAAGTTCTGTTAATTGAGGGGATACAACTTAACTGCCCGAAATCAGTGCGACACATTGAATCGAAGCTGGACAGAAAAGAATCAGGATGGATGCTGCAGTAGTCTGATCACGAAGAAGAAAATGCTCCATACACTTAGGGAGTTGTGCTGGTATTGTCCAAAAAAACACGAATAGCACTCATGGATGGAAATTTCATGGAGTCGGGATCACCAAAGCATCCTGTAAAACAAGGAAGTAGGGAATCACAATGCATATTATCTAATGCTATACACTCACCGATATTAGCAGCGAAGACAATAGAGATCAGTTTTGCCAGGGGTTGCAGTCGATCGTAGAGAAGTGTCCAGAAGAGGACCTGACCATCCTCATAGAATACCTAAATATCAAACTCGAAATGAACAACACCGGATGTGAAGATATGATGGAACGAAATGGACTGACTGAGAGAAGAGAAAGACTTGAAAATTTATGTGCATTGAGCAAAATGGTTGTAGGTGGAACTATGTTCCCACACAAACACGTACACAAGGCTACATGGGTCTCATCCGACCACATCACGGAGAACCAGAATGATCATATTTGTATTACTAGTAAATTCAGAATGTCAATGGAAGGCGTGGGGACCGAGAGAAGAACTGACAGCTTCAGGTGATCACGTAGTGGTTGCCAAGTTGAAATGAGAGATTAAAGAGCACTGAAGAAACAGCATTACAAAGTTTCAATACCGCCTTCCTACGAGACACTGACAAACTCCACGAATTCAAGCTAGCTCTCAGCGACAAATTCCAAGCCTTACAAGATCTACTGAAGAAAGAAGAAACTACTATGGAGGACAACAGGAAAGGAATCAAAGAATCACTAACTTCAACGTGTCAGAAGGTGCTGGGCCGCATGTAGTATTATCATAAGGAATAGGTCTCTTTCTAAAACCTAGACAAGAATCAAGAAAGGAAGAAGAAAATAGCAACTAACAACAGCTGAACAAGAGAAGAGAAATTAAAGGCACAGGCTGAATATACAGAGGTAATCAAGACAATGAAAATGAGTACGTAGCCGATAATCAGAAATACGTGGAAGACCTAGCAACAGGGTGGATTCTGGCAGGTCCGGTCGTGCACAGACCAAATCGCGACACCTGGTCATTGTGGAGCAATCAATTGAATAAGATTCGTCACGACACCTCAACTTCCTTGAGTATGAGGAAGCACTTGAAAGTGCGGATAGGAGAACCTTATGAAACCTTCGACACTATGGTGTACCTGAGGTCGTCAGCATTATCCGGAATTCATACAACGGACTACACTGTAAAGTTGTGCGTGAAGGGCAGCTGGCATACGCATTCCAAATAAGGACCGGAATCAGACAAGACTGCCTACTTTCCCCTTTCTCTTCTTTCTGGTAGTTGACTGGATTTTGAAGACCTTCAAATGTGAGGGAAAGCACAGAATATAATGGACAAGTTGGACGCATCTAGTTGATATGTACATTTGTATTCTAAATTCAGTAACTGCACTCTCATTCCTGTTTATAGAAAATGGAAACTCGACCCACTATTGGATTTCCATTTTTATTTAGAAACTATTAAGGCTCATTTTTAAATTACTCAGTATGATTTCTTGTTATGTTTTGTTTAGGCACAACATACTCCCGTAAAGAATCTATGGAAAATATATGCACCAGCTCTAGGCCTTTACATACGTTCTACACCCAGATTTATCCTTTATCATCATACAAAATGGTAAGTTCACGTGGCCCCTATTTCAGAATTAATTGTATTCTGTGTTAAAATGTTTCTTAATAAATTGATAAGGAAAATATTCTATACTGGATTATCAAACTCCTTAATTCCTATTTTCCAGAATGTTTTGATCTTGATTTTGTTTTAATTAAACATGATTCTTTGATATGTGCTACTTACATCGATATAAGTAGTATAAAACTTTAGTGAGGAATAGAATATCTGTCAGCAGAAGGTTAAGAAGATGATCGTAGAGGGAAAAAAAGGAAACAAAAAGAAATTTGTATAGAAATACAGGAAAAAATAAAATCCAAAACAATTAATAAACATTTTGTAAATAAAATATAAATTTTTTTATTTTATTAAATAACTCAATAATTTCGTGCTAAATAAAATCGATTGTATTCACTTGTGTTATTCATTATAATTCGATTGGGTATTTTGTTCCACCGGCTAGTTACAACAAATAAACTATTTGAATATATATTTATATTCTCTTGAGCTTTACAGGTATTTAATGACATAGGTCATTGTATCAATATGATTTTCAGTTGAAGGTAATCAACGGTAAACTAATTTCTGTCTAAAGTTTATATATTTCAATAGTTCTTAACATTTTAAAGGTAATAAAATGACAGAATATGTTGATTGTGTTTGAAATAAGTCATAATAGTAATTATTGAAGAATTAAAATTATTCTTGAATTCCCCTGATAGATGTGAGTGTTCTATCTTACTATTTATTACTTGTGTATATAAGTAATAAACTGCTCATTTGATAGTTTACATTGAGTGTTCAATCTTATGAATAATTGTCCGTCGATCACAATGTATATGATTTTAACAAGTAACTATGTACTCATAACAAATATTGTATTCCTTTATGATAAATTATAAATAATAACTCATGTTCAAGTTTATTTATTTATTTATTTTAACACATAGATATTGGTACAAGGAGGCACCGAATACATATGCGCCACACAAATCTCATTTGATATGTGTGTGAGGGTTGTGATACTGCTCGGGTTCCCAAATCGAAGCAGGTGGTTTTCTTAGGGGGTCACACCCCGAGCCTTTGACCTGAAGATCTGATCCACAAGGCAATGGAGCATCGTAAGGAGATGCAGTCTCATGGTGGCCGGTGACCAACGATTGGTTCATACGCCATTTGTTCCTTCAGGATACTGAAGCCAGCCCATGTGCACCATTGGTTTGGGATCCGGTTAAAGCGCCAGACATTCGCTTTTCGTCCTTCCATCTTCGTAAACAACACCCGTGACGCGAGAAGGCAGTGAGTAGGACTTCCCTGTCAGAGGCTATATATGCGTGGCCATGTGATGGCATTTCGAGAGGGAGAGCGAACTCTCCCTACTCTCGGCCATACCAGGGCATTTGGGGACCATGTTCAAGTTATCATACTACAATAAATTTATTAGTATCCAAAGTCTAATTCGATACTAATTTGTGTATGTTTTTCATTTAATTTGTTTCAGTACACTAATGACAACATCAAATGTGAATCGATCTATACTCAAACAAATATTTCTTTCATTTCGAACAATGTTTTATCGCGAACGACCACATCTGGTTGGTGTAGATAAATCAGGTAATCGATATTTTGAAGCACCACCAAATAAAGCGAGTGAACATACTCATTTGTCAAAATTACCAAAGAGATTTTTTCTAATGCCTGGACAAAATGGATTAGAATGCTCACTTGGGAATATGGATGTAGGTCAGTATATGAAATGAATTCAATTATAAGCCATATTTTTACTTCTGTATATTAGTATGTTCGTAAGATCCCTTCAAAAAAATAAAGTTTCATAGAGTTTCGTTATTCAAAATAAACAAATTTATGTTAGTCATCATATGGTCAATCCTAAATATTATTCATTCAATTAAAGAAATCGTTAAGACGATTGATGAGAAGCTGTTCATTTTCTATCTTTAAGAAACAATTATATACTAATGTGTTTGATGAACAATTAAATTATCAAGCTCTATTTGTGAACAAACACTCCACTTCCTTACTTCCTTACATAGTTACGCTTGTTACTCCCAATGAAACATAGTCCGCTGACCAGCATTCTCTAACCGACACTATCCTGGATCTTTCTTTCTAGTTCTATCCAATTATTGTTCATTTTTCTCATGTCTGCCTCCATTTCTCGCCGTATTGTGTTATTTAATCTTCTTTCTCTTCTTTGGCCTTGAGGATTCCATGAGAGTTCTTACCTTGTGATGCAGTTGGGTGCTTTCCTCAATGTGTGTCCTATCCATTCCCAACGCTTCTTCATGTTTTTTTCCTCCGCTTGCATCTGGTTTGTTCTCTCCCACAGTAGGTTGTTGCCAATAGTGTCCGGCCAACGGATCCGAAGTATTTTGTATAGACAACTGTTAATAAACACTTGTATCTTCTGGATGATGGCTTTCGTGGTTTTCCAAGTTTCCGCCCCATACACTAGAACTGTCTTGACATTTGTATTGAAAATTCTGACCTTTGTTTTAGTTACCAATTGTTTTGATTTCCAGATATTCTTCAGTTGTAAACATGCTGCTCTTGTTTTGCCAATCCACGCATTCACATCTGCATCAGATCCACCGTGTTCATCAATGATGCTGCCCAGATATGTAAAGGTTTGAACATGTTCCAAAGCTTCTTCGTCATGTGTGATTTGACTGGTTCATGTTGTCTTATATTAGAGAATCTTGCTTGTTGATACCTACTTCTGCTGCTACACTGGTCGTCTTCTGCATTATCTGTGAATTCTTTATCGTCCAGTTTCATCCTAGCTATACTCGCTTCGACAGTTGCCTTAATGGTTATATTCTGGTATCAATCAATGTTTATATTCATTTTTCATGAATATCATACTCCAAAGTTTCTCTTAGTTCGACAATTTTCAGACCTCGAAGAGCCTTGATTTATTCTAAAATTATAGATAAGCTTTACAAGGCTAAAACTAAGTTCGTCACAGATGTTGCACTTGACAAGTTCCAAATACATTAAGTAATAATTATATTTTTATTATATCCTGATGTGTAGAAAAGTTGTATTTCTGACATTTTACTGATTTAATGTGTTAACCACTTCTTCAAAATAAACAAATAATCAAACATGAAATTAAGTGAAAATAGTCAGTACAAAAGAAACAATACAGAATATTTTGGTATCATCAAAATTATAATGGATCTGAATTTTTTCAATATCAAAGTGTGTTGAATGTGAAAAATGCACGCAAGTAGAAGGATTGAAATAAGGTGTTTATGGAGAATAGATAACATCAAATATGGTTGTTTAGATCGCATCTAGTACTACAGAAAAATATCTTACATATTGACAAAACAAATATCTCTTCCATCTAATATTTCCAAAAAGCCCCCAAATGCCCTGGTATGGCCGAGAGTGGGGGGAGTCCGCTCCTCCTCTCGAAATGCTCTCACATGGCCACGCGCATATAGCCTCTGTCAGGGAAGTCCTACTCACTGCTTTCTCGCGTCACGGGTGTTGTTTACGAAAATGAGAGGACGAAAAGCGAATGTCTGGCGCTTTAACCGGATCCCAAACCAATGGTGCACATGGGCTGGCTCCAGTATCCTGAAGGAACAAATGGCGTATGAACCAATTGTTGGTCACCGACTACCATGGGACTGCATCTCCTCACGATGCTCCACTGCCTTGTGGATCAGATCTTCAGGTCGAAGGCTCGGGGTGTGACCTCCTAAGAAAACTACCTGCTTCGGTTTGGGCACCCGGGCAGTATCACAGCCCTCACACACATATCAAATGATATTTGTGTGGCGCATATGTATTTGGTGCCTTCTTGTACCGATATCTATGTTTTAAAATAAATAATAAAAAATATTTCCAAAAAAGAACAATGGAAAGCTTTACGCTCATTACAGAAAGGCAGAACAATGATGATTATTAAAGCTGACAAAGGAAATACAACAGTGGTCGTGAACACAAATGACTAAGAAGAAAATGCTCTTAATCATCTATTGACATGATTATACTCAAAGATCAACTCAAAAAAATTTTCAAGTGGTTAAAAGTTAACTTAAATCAGAGACATGTGAATTTCTGTAAGAACTAAAGCCATTTATTGACGTTTCAATATATTGTTTACTTTATACCCTCAATCCAACACCTGATCACATCTTTATTGATAAGCAATAATTCACACATTCCTTTAAGATCCATAGTAGACTTCACAATTATTTTAACATATGCTTTATCTAAATATCTAAGCAACATACTGAAAACACTTCAACACAATCTAATCAATGTTGTAAAGGATTCATATGAATTCAGGTCAAAGATTTCCGAGTTATACATCCATATCGACTTCTATGACCTTGTCCCTGCGCTAAACCAATGTTATGTTAACTAGCACGAGCAGCCTAGTGCCAACTCGGAGTCTTTATTGATCTTCTGAATAGTAAATTTTTGTATAACCCAGCTAATTCAGTCTAGAACATAATCTCAGATCTCCACTGCATGAATCGTATATTTCAGACATACATGGTGTATATACAAGCAGATTAGAACACACACCGTTAAATGAGAAATAATAATTAGGCAGTATCACGCCAAAAGTGACTGTGATAATATGGGAAACTGTAGCTGATAAATTGGAAGTACGTTAAGGATGGTAAATCATGTCACAATAGCCAATAGGTCGTCAAATAGAAAGCTTATGGTAAAAGAAATTAGAACATATCTATAATCTAGTTACTTAATAATTATCCTATAAGAATATATGTAATAATAGTCCATAATTAATTCCTAGCAGTTACCATTCATTTACTTCTCGTTCTTATATAATATATATAGTAGCGGATTCCTTACTATCATATAACCGTATTTCTCTATATTTCACAGAATTCCTTTATGTTCTTTCTAAATAATTTTCGTATTTTCCACGAAATAATCTAGAATTATCATCTATACCACCTGAATGGTATTCATGGTTGAGACATCGACGTTCTCATCCACCTACAGAAGAAGAAATAGAAGCTAATGCTGTATCTATGAGCAACCGTCTTAGTCGCGCAGCAGAATTAGAGGTATATTACGTACTGTTTTTGTTTTCATCTACAAATTAATCTCATAGTAATTTCCTTTTTCATAAAGTTTCTTACATTTAGGATTAGGAAATCATCATTATTCCTGTTTGGCTGTCTATTTGACTGGATCATATAACGGAACACAGTGTAAATCATAATCGAACCTCTTCAACAATGAAACCGTTGGGCTACATCTCATATATATTTATATTTAAAACTCCAAATAAATCTTATCTAGGATATAGATATACACATATGATGAACCTTAACAAAATCTGTGCTAAATACTCATGGGTATTGGAGTAGATTCAAAGAAACCTGGTGTCTTCCAAATAAAAACATAGAATTAGTCCATTAGGTTATTGTTGGCAGTATAAGAATTTTATTGACTTAAACAAATAACATAATATTGTTGACTATCATAACTAATTCATCCAAACAAATATACAGTAGGAAATTTTGTCGCAAATATTTGGTCAGTTAGGTGAGTCAAATTTTTCAGTAATTCATTCATAACACAGCTGTTGAATATAATGATTATTAGTGGAGTGTTACATGATTCACAATTTTCTGTTGAGGATGTTAGATCCCCAATTTTATTTTGGAAATTTGAATTTCTTGTTTTCGTGCCAAAAGCGCCCATTTTCACCTTCATATCGTATTTCCCACTTGAGAAGACCTTAAATGCTATTAGTTGGTTGTCCCTTATAATATGCTATTTTATAGCGTTTCCCGAGGACATTTTATGCTGTATGTGTGCGTTTGGATTGTGGTTGTTGTTCGAGTTTCTGGCTGCTTGTGGAATACATTTCCCTGTTCTGAACCTGGACTTCTCTTACTGGGCTGGAACGCATCGGAATAATTAGCTTATTTCGTTATTGTGTCACTGAGTCTTCGTTCCGCCCGAAGATTAGGTGAACTCCTAATCTCTTCAAACATAGCACTTTCAACTCTATACAAGCAATCGAAGTTCTACTTGAAATCAGGATTATGCGATTAGTTTCTTTGGAATATGCGTACTCGTTTAGCAAAGTTGGCACCAGCTAGCAAAATGTATCTCATGCTTCTGAAATCGCATTAAAAAGTATGTATTGTACGAGCTAAAGATTGCAGTCGAAATCAAAAGTTACTACACAGACTACATCTTCATATCAAATTAAAACAGCTCATAAGGTTAGAAATTAAGAACCTTTAATTTTATTTTCAAAGTGAAATTGATATGACAAATCGAGATCTCTTATTTCGGGTATATGTGTTGCATACTTGAGGTGAAAACGTTAGTATCTGCGACCGCTTTTTGTACGATATGATAACTCTATCTTGATCATTCCCTAACTCAGCATGCAGATAACCTACTTGAAACTACCAATGACATCCATCCCAATATCAGTTTAGCTTTGGGATAGGAAATCAGTGATATCCCAGTTCGTGAATGCCTTTCAGCAGATCCCAACCGTAGCTACTACCTTGACTTGACGGTTGAGCTTGCCTATCGTGATGAATCAACCGAGCTATATTGACTGAAACCCATGATCGTTTAGGACCTGCCATGCCAGATAGGTCAGGTGGAAAACGGTAAGACTAAAAGCAGCTACTTAATGCCCTTGACCGTAAGGCAGGGTTTGACTCTGCTGATTGTGAGGTTCTGAGGCGGTGTGTGTCATTGAAAGGCATACCAAAGAAGTACATCAATCGTGTACTGTCATCAGAACTAATTACTTCAAATGGTGTTCGTCTGGGTTGTCCGCTTTCCCTACTTTAATTTATCTTTGAGATAGACATGCTTTTAGAGAGGACACTTTCGTCGTCTGATTTTGAAGAGTTGATCTTTTACCAGAAGATTCGCTTGTTGAATTACAATACAGAGATTATATAGTTCTGTTCGCAGAAGACACTGACAAAATGCAGTCTTCTGACCACCTTAAGCAACAATGCCAGGATGTTAGTGATCCCGTTCTCCCTGCAAATGTAAAATGTTACTTCAGGATCGGCCTGCGTCATCCACCGAATAAGTGATAGGTAGTAAAGTAGTTGGACGTATTTACTGCCACACTTTTCTTGGAAGTTTCATCACTACTGATGGTCTGATGTCTGACGAAATCTCGGCACGGATTCAGAAGGTGTACGTAAAATATCCGTCTTCCAACCAAAGGGCAGGTTTAGTGCTCAGCTCCGTTATAGCTTGTGTATGTGAAACGTGGCCATTAAGAGTAGAGGATATCTGTAGGTCGCCATCATCTACCTCGACGGGTAATGCTTTCTGGTGCATCAGTTGCCACCTAAAAGAAAGCTAGGGGCAACCAAGCCAAAACCTGGCATCAATACAATTGGACTTAGCCATGTTAATAGGTGTAGATTACCTGCTTGTGGTCCGAGTGATTATCGTAATCAATGGTCAGACTTTGAATGATATGTCCCAAAATCGTTTAGAATGGCGCAGGTGCATCTTTTCTGTATCCACTCCAAAATCCTAAGATTCTAGATTCCTCATAAATATTTTTATGACTTTCTCCCTGTTAATCATCATTTGACAAAATCGCCAATACGAATACTGAATTTTATGACCATTTCTTATGCTAAATCAATGACATGTCAAAACAGCACTAGCAGTCATGTGTGAATCTTTGTTGGTCCTTCTCGTCTATCCCTGCCTGTTGAGTCCAGAAAGCAATTATGATAATTAGAAGTATTTGAATTATAGTACGAACTAAGAATCCCAGAAATAATGCAATTCAATCAAGAAGTACTACACAAGCACTAAGGAATGTACTGCATTTGAAATTCGAAATCAAACATTCGACAGTCAGTCAGTCAGTAACAACGTGGAACTTCGTACGTACGTACATCAGTTCGAGTTGCCATACCACATTAGCACAGAGATTCAGTTATCGATTCAAATCCCATAGTGGTGAAGGTACTGAAAGTATAAGTAGTAATCGGGAACATTAGGGTTTGATGATGTTATTTAAGGAGTATAGTCCTGTAGAATAGATTTGAAAAGAAAACAAAGGACATGAAGAATTCAGAAGATTAGAGTTTGAGAGAACACAAAGAGTGGATGCACCTGCTCCATTGCAAACGATTTTGAGCCATGTCATTCAAGGTCTCTAACCATCGGTTGCTATCATCTCGTGGTCCCCAACCAGGTAGTCTACATCTACCAACATGTTTCAGTCCACTTGTCAGTGAATTCATGGATTTGTGCCATGTTTTGGTCTGGCCGCCCCTAGCTTTCTTCCAACCTTCTCCTACACCATAAAAAACAGCACGTCGGGGTAGTCGGTGGTCGGGCATGCGCAGCACATGTCCCAGCCATCTCAACTGATTAAGTTTCACTACTTCCTCAATTGATTTGTCATCCTTACCTAGCACACGTTTCACAACAACTGCATTACTTACTCGGCGGTCCCAGGATATACGAGCGATGTTTCGAAGACATCTATGATCAAATACTAGTAACCTACGAATATCCTCTACTCTTACCGCCATGTTTCATTGCCATAAATTAGGACGGAACGAACTGCTGCGCAGTAAACACGTCCTTTGGTTGATAGACGGATATCTCGCCTACGCCACAAATGACGCAAGTTGGCAAAAGCTAGTCGAGCCTTTTGTATCCGTGCTGAGATTTTGTCACACACCAGACCACAAGGGCTGATGAGACTTCCCAGATTCGACAAGTACAAAGGCGTCATAAGTTCATTCAAACACCAAAGCAATCTCAGCCTCCACTGTATGAATAGTAAGTTTCAGATATACGTAGTTTATATGCAAGCAAACCAGATCATATCACACCATAAAATGAAAATTATACAAGATCAAGCCAAAAGTGGCTGTGACTGTGAGAGTCTGTAACTAATAGATTGGGAATAACTTAAGAATAGTAAACCGTGTAATAATAACCAATAGGTCATCTCAAAGCTTATGATAAAAGAAATATTGATACATATTATCTAGTTACTAAACAGGTATGCAATAAGGATACAACAGTTTTTATGTCAGTATTGGGGTTGTGGAGATTATTAAGTTTTTGATTGAGATCATAAATCGACTGATGTTTGACTAGCGTTGGAAACCTGGAAGCAATGAACGGCCGTTTCGTCCTAGTATGGGACTCCTCAGCAATACTTATCGTAACTGATCTTGCAGAGAGGTCATTTATTTTTCACAGGTTAAAAGAGTCTTCTTGCTGTCTATATTAGTAGGTCACTCATATTCGAGGTAACTAATTGTCTTCTTGAATACAGCATTTAATATCTTGAGCGGATAGTAGTATTGCTTTTATAGTAACTTGTATTGTTTGGTGTATATCCTCTTCTCGTGGCAATAATAGTATCTTCATTTACTTGTTGCTGTTGGTTAACAACTAGTCGAGATAAAGTTATCAGCTTGTCGAAAATTTTCTGTTGATTCAATGTGTATACGGGAATACTCGACTTCGATTGAAATATAGATATGAGCGGTTTATGATCCGTTAGAAGGATAAATCAACCATCATAAATCATTTGATGAAATTGCTTTGCTGCTAAAACTAAAACTAGTCCTTCTTTTTTTCAATTTAATTTATTTTCATTCATCTGGATTAACAGATCGGAATACATGAGTAACAGGCTTTTCTTTACCATCAGGAAAACGACAACTGATGACAGTTCTAATTTCATAGTTAAAAAACATCAACGACCACAATTATTTTAAGCTTAATGGGTCAGCAACAGATTAAAGGATAAAGTTCTTTTTATTTCGTCATTTCATTAACCATCAATGTTGGTTTAATGGGTGTCACAGTCTATACATGTAAGGTATTCTATGATATCTATTCATCCCAGAAATAAACGAAGCTTTGTAACATCAGTCGATTTGGTCATGTTTTTGATAACATTATTTTTTTGGATCTGTTCGGCAACCATCTTTATCGAATATATATATATATATATATATATATATATATATATATATATATATTTGAATATTTCATACCGTCAAAGGTGTTTAATGGAAATACATAACACTAACATCTTCAATACGAACGTCAAGGCAGTTCTACTGTACGGAGCTGGAACTTGGAGAACTACAACAACCACCATGAAGAAGGTACAGGTACTTATGAATAGCTGTCTACGCATGATACTCAACATCCATTGGTCGGATACCATCAGCAACAGCCTTTTGTGGGAGAGAACCAACCAGCTTCCAGCTGAAGAGGAAATTAGGAAAAGACGATGGAAATGGATAGGACATACATTGAGGAAATCATCAAACTGCATTACGAGACAAACGCTAACTTGGAATCCTAAAGGGAAGCGGAAAAGAGGAAGGCCAAAGAACACATTACGTCGGGAAATAGAAGCAGATATGAAAAGGATGAATAAGAACTGGAAAGAGCTTGAAAGGATTGCCCAAGACAGGGTTGGATGGAGAATGCTGGTGAGCGGCCTATGTTCCTTCACGAGGAGTAACAGGCGTAAGTAAGTAAGTAAGTAATAACACTAACACTTCACTAGAACTTCATTGTGAATATTATTCATACCCATGTAATCCAATGACTAATGTTTAATGGTAATCACTTCGTTGACAATATTGATTCTTAGATTGATCAAGTTATTCAATTTGAATAATAACAATCTATAGTCTATGCTTGTTGGTTTATTTTTTTTCCAGATAAAACATAATGAAGAACGTGAAGAAATGATTAAACAAGGATTATTACATACTACTGATAAAATGGAATCATCTAATATTCATAATAAATCTTCATTTCCTATTTATTCAGATTTACAAATTTCTCCAGACAAAAATAATAAAAATACAAAATAGAAAGAGAAACAATTAATTAAGATGACAGTAGATTTGATCATTCACATATTCCGATCTTATTTATAACGAATCATTGATCTGTAATTAATTTATGTGAATAATAATAATAATACTATATAAGATTATTTATTTATTTTAACACATAGGTATTGGTACAAGGAGGCACCAAATACATATGCGCCACACGAATCTCGATTGATTTGTGTGAGGGCTGTGATACTGCCCGGGTGCCCAAACCGAAGCAGGTGGTTTTCTTAGGGGGCCACACCCCGAGCATTCGACCTGAACGTCTGACCCACAAGGCAATGGAGCATCGTAAGGAGATGCAGTCCCATGGTAGTCGGTGACCAACGATTGATTCATACGCCATTTGTTCCTTCAGGATACTGGAGCCCATGTGCACCATTGATTTGGGATCCGGTTAAAGCGCCGGACATTCACTTTTCGTCCTCTGATTTTTGTAAACAACACCCCCCCTGGCACGAGAAGGCAGTGAGTAGGACTTCCCTAGCAGGGGCTATGTACGCGTGGCCATGTGAGAGCATTTCGAGGGGGAGAGAGGACTCTCCCCACTCTCGGCCGTACCAGGGCATTTGGGGGACTATATAAGATTTATAACACTTATATAAAGTGATATTATTGACTAATTCTATGTTATTTTTTACTTATCATATTTAGATACTGATCATTTCTTGTTTAGATGTTGAATGTTTGATCAAGATCATAAATACCGCAATGTCAATAATCAAAAAATATAACATAAGTAGTAACATATATTGGAAATTTGAAATGGGAAAAGTAACTTCACTGCTAATATTCTCAGTATGTTCACATTGTTAGATTTCATTAAAATTGTTAACCAATCAATGATAGACAAAAATCACAAACTGAAAATTATCATGTGTTCAATGATGATTAACTTTCAAACAGAATTCTTGGAGTCCTATTAAGTGGCTGTGATCAGCGGAGTTCAACAGTGACTAGGCAGTTACCCAACGAAGACAATTGATTATGATTGTCTACTATATTCATTTCAGTTCAATTTCATCATAGACCTATTACTAAGAATAACTTACTCTTCGATTGAATTTTCAGGTCCACTTGTCGACGAATTCCGTCTATCAATTAAAAGACGAGTATACTGCACAGCGCTTCGTTCTGTTCTACTTCACGGCTGCGAAACATGGCCATTAAGAGTTGAAGATACTCGTAAGTTACTAGTATTTGACCACAGATGCCTTAGAAATATTGCTGGGATCACCGGGTAAGTAATAGTTAGGTTAGACGCATGGTATTAGGGAATGATGGTAAGTCAGTTGATGAGGTTATGAATCTTTATCGACTGAGATGGTTGGGCCACGTGTTACGTATGCCTGAACACCGATTACCAGGACGCGCAATGCTCACTGGTGTTAGGGATAATTGGAAGAAAGTTAGGGGCGGCCAATCCAAAACGTGGTATCAGTGTTTGAAGACACTAACATCTGGTTTGAGCCATGTTGGTAGATGCAGACTACCTGGTTGGGGTCCGCGTGACTATCGTAACCAATGGTTGGAGACTCTTGGTGACATGGCTCAGAATCGATCACAATGGCGTCGGTGTATTCACTCTCTGTCTTCCTTTAAACTAAGAGATTAAAATCACTTCATATCTTTCTAGGAACTAATTCTTTCTTCCTTTACTATCTCCTTATACACAATCTTTCTTCTATATATTTCCACCACTGAATTTACTACTTCTATGAATCCGGTGTTCATCTTGTTGTGCAAACGAGGTGTGGCAACTTGGACCGATAACGGTGACCGTCTACTACAACATTTTGTAGTAATTATCTAGACTCACTTCATGCCATTGTGTGCGCTAATCTTAACTTTCGTTTTAGTGGCCAACAAACCCGTCATCCTAAACGGAATGATTTAAGCAAATTGGCGAGTTTTACCATTAACGAAAATTTTACGGTATGAAATTGTGCAAAGCTTGCGTAAGGACCGAGAATCCTGGTGGTCGGGGCGTGCTAGCCAGTTGAAAGCACCAGTCGCATTTTGTAACCCACAAAATCTCTTTCACTTCATCTGAGCCACTGGTAGCGAGAAGTCTGGTGTGAGTGGAGCTGATGGAACGCCAATCTTGGATGACGAGCAGTGTTCGAAGAGCAGTTCAACTTGTCTGCTACTTCGGCGATATCGACCAGGCTCTTCTGTCCCCCTCGATCAATGTAGCCTGACCCATCTAACGAAGTGGAAGTATGCCAGAAACTCTAACTCTTGGAGTGACTACAATTTAATCTTGAAAAACTGACCTCGGTGGCTTGTCCATATACTTGGAATATCAATCCAGCGAATTCCACGTTGTGCGTTATTTAAGGACGCTGGGACTGGTTAGAAAAAACGGAGAGACGATCAGTGCACGACGTACTGTCGTAGTATGAAAGACGTATAGGACTGGCATCTGTTGGTCCCTTACAACTTCCTGGTGCTAGAGAGGGGAATTTAACTGAATCGTTTCTGTTTGTATTTTTCTCAACTGGACTGTTTCTTCCATTATTATTATTATTATTTTCTCTCACACACTAATTTCTATTCATTTTTCCTATCATATCTTCCTTTATGTATAAATGAATAGTAATAGATAGGACGGATACCACTTCAGCATGAACACATTTTCAAGGTCAATCCACAATTCCAAGGACCAATTCTCTTGTTTTAGACGGAAAATTAAAAAATTTTATTCATACGAAATGTGTATTCGGTTTAATAAAGATGATGTTTCCTAACTCTATTAAGATTGACATCTAATCACTAACGCGTATCCACAGAATCAAGAACGTTCACTATTCCGGTCCTTTAAATTACTGTTACTTATGGTGATTCAAATTTTATTATCACATACCAATTATACGCAGACAATTTTCCGAACTTAGATAACATTTTCGAGTAGCTGTCAGGTGGACATAACGTATGGTAAAAGTATTGGTATAAGAGAAAACTAATAAGAGTCAGAACCCTCATTTCACTTAAAGAAGTCCACAACAGTGTTTTTACAATGTAGTTCACATAAAAACAAAAATTACTTTCAAAATGATCTTTTTTTTTCGAGAAAAAAATCGAATGGTATCTTTAGAACACAAAACATAATTTCCAGTCAATAAGAGGTAGACAGAAACAATAGGAAAAATTCATCTCAATATTATGACTTCGCTGAGACACCTCTGTGAGAATCCATTTGATTTAGTAATTCTGTAGCACCCTCTTCAGTTTTTACACGTATCAACATTGGAACTGGTTTTGGTTGTCCATTATCTTCTTCGTTGTTAAGGGTTGATTTAGTCTGGGACGGTAAAGGTGGTGAAGGAATACAAACTAATGTCAAGTTATTTTTTTGCTGTTTAATAGGTACATCTTTTGTAACCAGTATATTTAGTAATATATTACCTGGAAAATTAGAATTGAGGGGGGGGGGTAAAAAGAAATTAATTAATAATTGGACATATCCGATCTTAAATTACACCTTATGATGAGAATCAATATCAATTGGGTTGTGAAATTATATTGTTGTAAATTGGTCACTGGGATTTTAATACATACATTCTTACCATACTTCGAGTGAAAGAAAAATATTCAGTTTAATTATTCTAAACGCTTTTCATTGATACATCATAGTCGACAAATTGGTTGATGTTAGACAGTGGTCCAGTACGTTAAGCGTTCGCGCGCGAGACTGAAGGCCCTGGGTTGTAATCTCGCGAACGGGATCGTGGATGCGCACTGCTGAAGACTCCCATACTAGGACGAAACGGTCGTCCAGTTCTTCCAGGTTTCCAACGGTGGTCTAACATCAATCCATTCATGATCTCAATCAAAAAATTTAATATATTTTGACTGATTACACCTAGATCAACATCAAATAGCTTCATCTATAAAACTGATATTTTATTCTAATTAATGAGAACAGGGAAAATGTAGAGCATATCAGTACAATAATGAAGTCGAAGTAACGAAATTGTTATCACAGTGTAAGAAGGTATCACTAATGGTAACACGTAAAAGTAATTACAGTTAACGATACTAAAGAGTCTTAATAGGAAAACTTTTCAAATTTAGATTACTGATTGTGAATCGAAGTATTTATTTTAAACCTGCTTCGGTTTGGGCACCTAGGCAGTATCCCAACCCCAGCACGCATAGAATGATTTATGTGGTGCATATCTATTTGGTAACTAATTCTACTAATGATTTTGTGTTTAAATAAATATAAACCTGAGGATAAAAATAATCAAACTGATTGAAAGTTTATCAAGTATCAAGACGATATTAATAAAAACTTTAAGTAAAGTTTAACGTATGTTTATTGATTGAAGTGGTAATATCAGTTTTGTCGATTTGGGTACTTTAATTTATTGTTTTGATCTAAACAAACAAACACTAATTCAAAAGGCCACTAAAAATATATATCTTCCACTCAGAGTAGTTATTATTTAATTTGGTGTGAGCTGCCCGGGCGTTTAAACGGTAGTAAATGGTCTTCATAGAGGGCCATATATCCAAGTCTTTGACCCAGAGATCTTATCCACATAAAGCGGAGCAACGTTATGACATACAATATCATGATAGCTAGTGACCAACAATAAGTTGATAAGCCATTTGTTCCCTCAGGATCCTGGAACCCATGTGCACCAGTGGTCTGGGACCAGGGTGTATTTGAGGACAATATCATGTATTCGATTTCACTCAAATTAGTTACTTTAGGGAGTAAATGCACACTTAAATTTAATCATGGAGTCGTACGAAAAAATATTTTAACGAAACAAATTAGTGCTTCCAAATGTCACTGCCATGGAAGTCCTACTCACCGCCTCGCGGCAAGGATATTGTTTACGAAGTTGAGAGAGAGAAATGCGAATGTCCGGCGCTTAATGTGGAGCGTCCACCTAGGGGAATGGGAAAACACTGGTCCAGAACCAATGGTGCACATGGGTCCCAGAATCCTGAGGGAACAAATAGCGTATGAAGGGTCTCCAAATCCTGAAGCGCCATAAATCACCAGGCCCGAAGGACTTGCCTACGATGATTTTTGTAGTTGGTGGCGACTTTCTGGTTAAAGTATTGGGTTGTTTACAAATGTCTGGCAATTAAAGTGTTCCAACATCGTGGAATGAATTGATAGTTGTTCCTATCTTTAAAAAACTGTTCACATCGTTCCTGCAACAATTATAGAGGGGTATATCTACTTCCAATCGCGTCCAAACTATTGGTTTCTGTCATACATCGTTATTTATATTTAATTATTTATTTGAACACATAAACATTGGTACAAGGGGACACCAAATATATATGTGCCACACAAAACAGTGACAATTTAAAGAGAATGGAAAAAAAGGTAAGGAACGTAGGCAATTATGAAAAAAAGAACAATAATGGGGGAAACGGAAAGGTACAATCAGAAAGAATTCTTTCAGTTAAGGAAGAAGCAATCACTTTTTATGAAGAAAGTGAAAGAAGGTTACAGCAGGATCGCCATCGGCTTCTATTCTGAGCCATATCTGATAGCGTTTCTAGCCACTGTGTCACACCATCTCTCGGACCTCAACCAAGGAGTAGTGAAGGACCAACACAAGCCAGCCCTTTGCAGCTTTCTTTTATTCCACGACACCGTGTCATATACTGACCACCGCTCCGCTTTTTCAAACCAGTCCCAGAGTCGGCAAATAATGCACGATGTGGAATTCTCTGGGACGACATTCGTAGAACATGTCCAAGCCACCGAAGTCGGTGTTTAAAGATGGTGGCACCAATTGGATTGTCATCTCTGAGCCCGATCACACGATGCCGAACCTCTGCATTACTGACATGGTGTTGCCACTGGATGTCAGCAATCCTTCGGAGACGGCAAGACAGGCTTCTCGGTCCTTACGCAAGCTTTGCCCGATTCTGTTACGTAACATCCTTCGTTTGTGTTCGAACTCATGGTCACCCGGAGTAGACCGACGGGCTTCAATCAGTTGTAAGGAACCAGAAGAAACCCAGTGCTTGTAAGCGGGACGTTTCGCGAACCCACAACTGATTTTACCCTCCATTTTCATGGCGTCATGCAATTGCGACTAATGCTCATCTATACTTTTCGGTGGAATGGTAGCTAGTCTAGAAGCTAGCTCGGTTCAGTACTTACTAGCAACAGAAGTTGCAGCCATCTTGCTAACATCAATCCTTTGGTGGCGGTCACTTCGTTGGCCACTGAAAATTAAGGTAAGATTGGCGCAGACCAGAGCATGATCAGATTCCAGATAGGTACTCCAAAAGGAGCGGCAGTCTTGTACACAACCACGCCAGCGGTAGCTGATCGCGATGTGATCAATCTGAGTCCAGGCTTGAGATGCAGAAGGGGGACGCCAGGTGGCACATCGGCGATGACTGTGCCGAAAGTTAGTGCTAGCCAGAAACAGGTTGTGGTCTGTGCATAGCTGCAGTAGACGTTCCCCGTTATCTGTCCTGCGACCAACAAGTCCCCATCGGCCACCTAAACGACTCTTTTCTGTGCCTAGACGCCCGACCTGAGCATTCAAGTCTCCGGTTAATACTACAATATCTGTCGAACGCACTTTCTGGAGAAGAACAATTAACTGGTGGTAGAACTCATCCTTGATTACATTCGGGCTGCAATCTGTCGGGGCATAGGCGGAGATGACGAAAAGACATCGTTTCTCACGCCGATTTCTTCTCACTTTGATGGAACTTTCTAATCTAACAGCACATAACCGACTGTTAATGGGGATCCAGTCGATTAGTGCTGCCTCAGCTCTAGCGCTTAGTGCGACACCAACGCCAGCAAGACCAGACGAAGATGCCACAGGGTCCCCGGATAAACGCGCATAAAACAAGCTTTTTGAAGCGACAGATGGAGAGCGAACTTGTAGTACTTCACCAGAGTCTTGAATACGGGTCTCGGATAGGCAACACACGTCAATATTAAGACTTTCCAAAGACATAGCCAGCCCTATCTGTTGTCCGACCTGCATAAGTGTGCGAACGTAGAAGGCAGCCAGTTTGAGTGGTGCACGTGGTTTCAGAAAAACTACTTCAGTACTCGTATTCGGTGGTAACATAAAATTTCCAACCAGGCAGTGTCTCGAGAGCGTTTAGATAGAGCCGAATTTCCACCATAGGCGAGTTGCTGTATAAGTCGAAAAATAAGGATAGACAGAGTAGGAATAAAAGAGTGAATAAATGACGTAGTAAATAATAATAATAATAATAATAATAATAATAATAGTGCGAGTCATTTCATTGTTAATCGGAGTGAAAAGAATATTTTTCATAAGTAGATAGTTCATCATGTTTTAGTGTGTGGGCTGAGATACTTCCCGGGTGCCCAAACCGAAGCAGGTGGTTTTCTTAGGGGGCCACACCCCGAACTTTGACCTAAAGGTCTAGTCCACAAGGCAGTGGAGCATCGTGAGGAGATGCAGTCCCATGGTAGCCGGTGACCAACGATTGATTCATACGCCATTTGTTCCTTCAGGATACTGGAGCCCATGTGCACCATAGAATTGGGATCCGGTTATAGCGCCGGATATTCGCTTTTTGTCCTCTCGATTTCGTAAACAACACCCCCGCCATGAAAAGGCAGTGAGTAGGACTTCCCTGACAGAGGCTATATACACGTGGCCATGTGAGAGCATTTCGAGAGGGAGGGCGAACCCACCCCACTCTCGGCCATACTAGGACATCGTAGATTGTTCGAAACCCGAGAAAAATTGACACACAGGGAACAGGCTGTTTTTTGTTCTGGTCGAGGATGTATTGATCATATCTTCACCCTCCACCAAAGGTCAAGTCACCATCATACTTATAACAGGTCAACAATCGCAGTGCTTCCTGACATTAGGACCGCCGTTGATTCGTTGGACAGGTCTGTTCTCTGTGATTGTCTGTTGATGAAAGATGTACCTGTGAAGTTTATTAGCATCTTAAAAGCCCCATATACAAGCACCTCAGGTAGAGTGAGGGCATACAACCACTTCTCTTTACTGTTCCATTCGAGTAGTGTGGTTAGGCAGGGTTGCTTAATCTCACCATTCCTTTTCAACTTTGGCATCGATAACGTTCTGGAAATGTGGGTAATGGTGGTGTGAGTCTGTTGGCAGGAGACCTAGAATATGCGGATGACAATGTCCTACTGTACGATGATTCCCAAGCCATGCAATCCACACTCAATCAGTTGGCAGTCAGTGTCCGTAGGTATGACATGTGCTTTGCCCCTTCCAAGTGCAAATTACTTCTACGAGACTGGCAGGACCCACCTTGGTCCGTGAGCTAATACAAGTAGTTGAGAAGTTCGTATATCTGGATAGCTGTGTGTGTGTGTTGTTGGTGGCATGAGTGATGAGACCAATTCACGTATAGTGAAAGCCAGAGTAAATTTTGCCAATTTGGACCACCTTTAGGGCCTTCGTGATGTTAGTCTGGCTGCCGAATTTCAGATCTACAACGCGTCGGTGAGAGACGTTTTGTTTTATGCTTGTGAAACCTGGCCTGAGTTGAGGAAGGTAGACGACTACATGTGTTTGATCATCGTTATCTCCGAAGGATCACTGACAGCCAGTAGCAGCACCATGTTGGTAATGCAGAGGTTCGGCATCGTGTGTCTGGGCACAGGGACGACCATTCAATTGGTGTCACTTTTAAAACATCTACTTCGATGTTCTACAAATGTCGTCCCAGAGAAGTCCGCGTCGTGCAGTATTTGCCGACACTGGGACTGGTTGGAATAAGAGGAGAGGTGGTCAGTGTACGACAAGGTATCATGGTATGAAAGAAAGTTGTGCAGCACTGTCTCTTGTTGGTCCTTCACGACTCCCTGGTTGAGGTCCGAGAGATGATGCAACACAGTGGTTAAAGACGTTACCAGACATTGCTCAGAATAGAAGGCAGTTGCGATTCTTCAGCAACTTCTTTAACTGAAAGAATTTTTTCTGGTTGTATTTCTTCTAACTGGATTGCTTCTCCTATTGTCATTAATAACAATAATACTATTATTATTTTATTCTCATGCACTAACTTCTGTTCATCGTTGATCTTCTTGTATCATACGTACATTACAATCTCTCTCTTTATAACCTCATTACTATTGTGTGGCGTATACGCATTTGGTTTCTCCTTATAAAAATGTTTATGTGTTCAAATAAAGTAAATAAACAATAATGGTAAACGATGCTCTACAAATTTACATTTTAAGATGACTCAGCAATAATAATAATAATAATAATAATAATAATAATAATAATAATAATAATAATAATAATAATAATATACAAATGAACTCAAAGGCCTATTGAATGTGCTCTGTCATATTAGAAGTATTGCATAAATTTTAATTGGAACGTCTACTATCAATCCTGGGGTGAAATACAGTAATGCATCTGCATTATTTTAAATCTCTATACACCTTACCGAGATTAGTATCAGCTCGAATGAGTAATTGGAATTTATCGTTTGTCGTTGGTTTGATGAATAAATTTCCGAGTCCACGCTCTTTCCACTCATTATCCACTTTGTAAAATAATTTACACCTAAGAATATGTAAGGAGAATATACGAATCCAAGGGTTACTAACAGACTATGTTCCATAAAATCATGGTAAAACTGGTATGAACACAATTATTATTCATATGGTGACTTCGACGTATAGAATACTAAGAAATGGTTTTGGACCCGATGTGTTTTTATTTTCTACCTATCAGCTTAGGGCAACTCAGAGGACATAGCAAGCGAGTAGAAAAGCCAAGAACTAACAAAATAACCGTGGCATAAATGTTTTCATACCGAGTCACCAATTCTTGGAACCTGTTACTCGAAGCAGTGGTGTCTGATTCAAGAGACTTAACACTTACAGAAGCAGACTAGAAAAGGAATAGCATAAGCCATGAGTCTTCTGTCCTTACTGCACAAATGTGAATATGTTAGGAACGAAGCAGCCACATGGGTTTGAATAAGACACGACGAAACAAACATGAGGCGTAAGCCCCTCAGTCACTACAAGGATTAAATAAATAAATTTGTCCTTTTTCTACTATTTTAAAAGAATTTCATATTGACAACCAATAATATGAACAACAGTTCGCATGTTATGTCCCAACAGTTTGATTTGTCGAAATCCGACTAACAGGTAGGGCATTATAAGGACACTAATGCATGGATCAGTTATTTTGGATACTCGAAACCCTGATCAAGTTCTGAGATAGCAGAATCATTTAATAGATGTCACTAGCGTCTTTGTATATTTTTAGGTTTACACTGAATCCCAATAATAACACAGATTGTGATATTAGGCCATCCTTACCTACTTAGAATAACTTCATGATTTATTCTAGAGTCCTACTCACCAGCTCGTGACGGGGCGTTATTAACGAAATTGAAACGACGAGAAGCGAATATCCGGCGCTTTAACCAGGTTGGTGGACACGGAGAGTCCACCTAGGGGAGTTCGGAAACCCTGATTTCAAATGAGCTTCAGTATCCTGAGGGAACAAATGGCATATGAATCAATTATTGGTCACCGGCCACCATGTTCGGCATGCGATTTTCTCCCTCGAAATGCAAAATGTTGCTTCAGGATTGGGTTGCATCGGCACCCGAACTAGTGATAGGGAGTGAAGTAGTTGAGCGTGTCAACCGCCTCACTTATCTGGGAAGTCTCGTCAGCCCTTGTGGTCTGGTGTGTGACGAAATCTCAGCACGGATACAGAAGGCTCGACTAGCTCTTGACAACTTGCGTCATTTGTGGCGTAGGCGAGATATCCGTCTATCAACCAAAGGACGTGTTTACTGTGCAGCAGTTCGTTCTGTCCTACTTTATGGCAGTGAAACATGGCCAGTAAGAGTAGAGGATATTCGTAGGTTACTAGTATTTGATCATAGGTGTCTTCGAAACATTGCTCGTATATCCTGGGACCACCGAGTAAGTAACTCAGTTGTTAGGAAACGGGTGCTAGGTAAGGATGACAAATCAATTGATGAAGTAGTGAAACTTCATCAGTTGAGATGGCTGGGACACGTGTTACGTATGCCCGATCACCGACTACCCCGACGTGCGATGTTTTATGGTGTAGGAGTAGGTTGGAAGAAAGCTAGGGGCAGCTAGACCAAAACATTACACAAATCCATGAAGCCACTGACAAGTGGACTGAGTGAGCCATGTTGGTAGGTGTAGACTACCTAGTGGGGGACCACGAGATGATAGCAACCGATGGTTAGAGACCTTGAATGACATGGCTTAAAATCGTTCGCAATGGCGCAGATGCATCCACTCTTTATGTTCTCTCAAACTCTAATCTTCTGAATTCTTCATGTCCTTTATTTTCTTTTCAAATCTATTCTACTGGACTATACTCCTTAAATAACATCATCAAACCTTAATGTCCCCTATCTCTACTTATACTTTCAGTACCTCTACCACTACGGGATTTGAATCGATAACTGAATCTCTGTGCCAATGTGGTATGGCAACTCGAACTAATGTACGTACGTACGTAGTTCCACGTTGTTACTGACTGACACACTGGCCACCATAGGACTTCGTTTCCTTACGTTGCTCCACTGCTTTGTGGATCAGACCTTGAGGTCGAAGACTTCGGGTGTGGCCCTCTAGGAAAACCACTTGCTTCAGTTTGGGCGCCCGGGGCAGTATCATAGCCCACACCCATATCAAGTGACTTGTGTGGCGCATATGTATTTGGTGCCCCGTTGTACTGATATTTGTGTTCAAATAATAAATAAATACACATGTCGTATAGACACTCAACTGAATGGAAAAGAGACGAACCTTGTCGTGAAAACTGATCCATCTTCTTTGAAATCTTTAACCTCTGGTTTGGGAGGAATATATTCCTCGTCTAAAAATAGGATTTATTAGGAAGAGAGTAGCATACCGTCATCATCCCCTTGTTGATTACTAGTGTCCTGCTTAGGATCGATATTCACAGGTTTTTGTGAGAAATTAGAGACGGTAGGAAACTGAAAAAGCGACTGGGGGAACTTAGTACTGGTCGTCGTGATAGGAGGCAACCCAAATGAAAATATAGGTTTCTTATCTGTAGAATCATTCGAAGGGCCAGTGGATATAGGTGTAGGTTTTGGTATGGAATTGCCGAAAATAAAAACGGAGTTTGGTGCACTGTTGGCCGGAGTCTCAACAGCTTCAGATGTTTTAGCAGTTAAGTGATTGCTGGCTTCTTTTTTCTCCGGTAGTGTAACCGCACCTACCAATGATTGTTTGGGAAATTTAGAGTTGATTCCCGATAAATGTTTGTCGTAATCGGAGAATATCGGGCTGAGAATACAAAATGGGTCTTCTTTAATATGTTTGGTAATCCAATCGAGTAAGCTCTGATTAAGAGTTTGTAGGTGTTCAAGATACTCAGTCTCTTCATCCTTGTGTCCGTTTTCTTTAACGCTTGAAGGTTTGAGTCCAAAATCGAACGATACTGGGTTTCCACTTGAGCAGTCAGAAAAGGCGGTAAATGATTTAAATAGTCCAGACGTTCCACTCTTATGAGAAGTAGATAATTACATAATGGAAGGCTTACAGACGTTTTGTTAGTACGTGCTGTCAAAATTTTTCTCTGCGAAAGGATCTCTTTATCTGCTTTATCAAAGTTTCCTTTAGTAGTAGCTCTTAAATCATCGTCCCAGTTATCTTGATTCAATTCAATATCGGCCCGTCTTTTGGCCATATGGTAGTGTAACTTCCCAGTGAAATCGACCGCCTTAGAATCAGTCTTCAGTAATAAGGATAGGAGGTTTATCGACCTATATTATTCGTTGCAGTTTGTAACACTGTTGAAGTCCGATCTCATTTTGAATACATTAACAGAAGGTGCTGATATTACATGTTTGGTAGAGAATTCTAGTAATTCACTACTCGGTGCGACGAACGAAAATCCAGACGTAAAAGATTTGATCTCAGTTTTTGAACTTTATTCGAATGTCCCCATAAATGGTCAATCCTAGACGGAGGGAAAAGATAAGACATGTTAATACCAAGGTTATTGTTCAGTATACGATAAGCCAGTATTATATCACTCCGTATTATACGGTTACGTACTTACGCCTGTTACTTCTAATGGAGCATAGGCCGCTGACCAGCATTCTCCAACCCACTCTGTACTGAGACTTCCTTTCTAGTTCTATCCAATTCATGTTCTGTCTCCATTTCTCGGCGTAGTGATTTTACTTTGTGGGCTTGCCTTGTGATGCAGTCGGGTGTTTTCTTCAATGTGTGTCTTATCCACTTCCAGCTCTTCTTCCTGTTTTCTTCCTCCTCTGGGATCTGATTTGTTCTCTCCCACAGTAGGTTGTTGTCTATAGTGTCCGGCCAACGGATCCGAAGTATTTTGCGTAGACAACTGTTAATAAACACTTGTATCTTCTGGATGATGGCTTTCATAGTTCTCCAAGTTTCCGTCCCATACACTAGAACTGTCTTGACATTTGTATTGAAAATTCTGACCTTTGTGTTAGTTGCCGATTGTTTTGAGTTCCAGATGTTCTTCAGTTGTAGGGATACTGCTCTTTCTTTGCCGATCCGTGCCTTCACATCTGCATCAGATCCACCGTGTTCATCAATGATGCTGCCCAGATATGTGAAGGTTTTTACATCTTCCAATGCTTCTTTGTCATGTGCGATTTGAGTGGTTCGTGTTGTGTTGTGTCGGAGAATCTTGCTTTTTCCTCTGTGTACGTTGATACCTACTACTGCTGCTGCTACACTGGCCGTTTTATCCTACATTTGTTGTTGCGTGTGCGATAGAAGAGCCAGGTCATCTGCGAAGTCTAAATCGTCCAATTGCATCCTAGGTGTCCACTGTATCCCGTGCTTACCTTCAGATGTTGTCGTCTTCATGATTCAGTAGATCAGCAGGAGAAAGAGAAAAGGTGAGCTTAAGCAAATTTGCCTGACACCGGTCTTTACTTTGAACGAGGTTGTCGACTGTCCTCCATGAACGATTTTGTAGTTTAATCCATCATAGGAATTCCGTATGGTATTGACCGTAGTGTGGAAGGAGCTTCCATAGGGTTGTTCTGTCCACTCTGTCGAATTCTTTTTCATAGTTAATGAAGTTGATATAGAGTGTGTTATAACGTGTGATTCGCCTATTAGAGAGCAGCCTATTATCGATCGAAACAGTGATGCATAAAACACGAGCGAGCAGCCTAGATTCCTGATTGGTTCTGCTTCCCTGTCTAGCTCAGCCAATTGAGTCCAGAACACAAGTCTCAGCCTCGGTGATATGAATCGTTATATTTCAAACATACACTGTTTATATACCAAACAAACAGACTACATCGTACCATAAATAGAAAGTAACATTTGTACAAGATTTAACCTTCAGGAAATGACACAAATAAATATTGACCAATAAGGAGATGACACGTTGGAAGAATGTTGACCAATGGGGAAATGACACTACTTCTCATTCAGGAATGGCATTAGATAATTTCTGGGGTATTTTCTGAATACCCCAACAGAGTGATGAATTCCATTCAGTTGATTGTTCCACAATGATCCGTAGAGTTGCGATTCGGTCTGTACGCGATCTATCCTTACGGAATCCTGCCTGTTGGTTGCAAAGTTTCGCGTCTACGGAGTCCTTCATTTTGTTTAACAATACCCTTTTGAAGACTTTTCTTGGTATAGAGAGAAGAGTGATCCCCCTGGTCCATGAGATTCCCATCCTGTAAGTGCTTTTTGTGCTTGCTTTGATAACATCGATGCGACTCCTTGTGTATGTGAGGCATTTTCTTCATGTCCGGAGTACAACAGCAGCTCACCTGAAGCTAGTCGCTGAGTCGACCTCCTTTGAAGATTGGTGTGATATGAGCCAGCTTCCAAATATCCGGTACTTTGCCTCAACTTAGCGAGTGTGAGAACATCACGCTAAGCGGTGTTGCTAGGATTGAAGCTGCTTCCCTCAGTATAGCAGAGTGGACCATATCTGGACCAGGAGAAGTGTCCGTTCTTAGGTTTTGTAGTTTTCGGAGCACCAAGTCAGCGCTCAGTTTCACTACGGAAAGTACTATGCAGTTGCAGATGAAGCCGTCATCAGTATAGTTGATGTGGGACGGTTGAAATGTCCGGGAGTATTGCTCAGCCAGAAGGTTAGCGGCGTCACCATCATTATCGGTCAGGCCGTTAGGACCCAGTGTAGTGCATAAAACATCAGTGGAGACAATCCAATGTATTTAACAACCAATTACAGAACTAGTTAGTAAAATCAAACAACCATATATTGAATCGTTAATTTGCAAATTGTTCATCAATTGTCTGAAATCACTCAGAATCCCCTTGTTCTTGCATTTTCATATAAGTTGCCTTCTGTCTTCATTCTTTATTGTTCGATCTTCTTATCTCTCTGCCGCTAGACATTCTGTTCAGTGCTCACGTCATATACTACTTATGTCTACATAAGTAGCACACACCACACCAGTAGTTGAGATACTACAGTTTTGGCTTGACGAAGAGAGGCTGCGTAATGGAATGAGATTTTCGGGTTGGAAATGAATTTATCCATAAGCTCTAACTGGTAATGAAGCCTGCCTTCTCTTATAGCCTTCGTACATATGTTCCTTATATGTTTGTATTGCCTGTACTCGCCGTTGTTGTCGGTTCGTTTGTATTCTGCCCAACAGTGCATTTTACGGCTTAGCAAACGAAGAGTGCGGTTTTTGATGATAGTAGGTTGCATGTGGCTTTTGGGGACCGTTTGATGGACTGACTGCTTTGTAGCACATAAGAGCGTGTGTAATAGGAAGTTCCAGTGAGCATCCACATCGAGTTGAGGGTGAGCGTCCCAATCCACCTGTTGTAGATTGTCCTGTAGAGCTGACGCATTCAACCGTTTGAAATTCCAGTGCCTGTTGTTGTTGAGTTATCTTAACTCAGTTTTGCTGACGAAAATGAAGGCTATAACGGCGTGATTGCTTTTCCCCAGGGGGGCCAGAATTGAGAGGTTGTCGACTAGAAATTCTTCATTTGTAAAAACACAGTCTAAGAGCGACGGTGTCTGACTGTTCCTCCAACGAGTAGCCAACTTCACATTTTCGTGTAGTTCCAAATCCTCAATGAGGTTGAAGAACCGAGCTTCGGTTGAATTTTCACCTCCAATATACGTATGTTCCGCGAAGTTGACTCTAGGGAGAATGAAGTCCCCTAAAATCATGATATGAGTGAAGCCGAGACGCGTAGAGCGGGATAGTCCTTTCAGCATGCGACTCTCATACTCGATGTCGGCAGTGGGCTTCCTATATTTGACTCCGACTAGGCACCTCGAAGTAGTGGACAATTTCATAGAGCACCACATAGATTCCTCAAGAATGTCAAACTCATGGTTGTGAACTTGGTGTACCTCCAGGCCAGATCGTATGTATAGGTCTACTCCATTCCCAATTCCTGTTTTTCTGTCATTGCGAAAAAGAGACTTCTCAGGTATTGCTAGCTCCTGGTCCGAAAAGTGAGGAGATATCCAAGTTTCAGTAATTCCTATCAGATGAACCTAATTAGCGCTGCAAAGTTCACTTAGATCATCCATTTTATTTGGTAGAGTCACGGGGTTCATGTATAAGCAGTTAATGCTTTCAATTTGGAAAGCATGAGCTACTTCATATTTGTCTGTGAGAGCGTTAAAAGTTAAATATCTACATTCCCAGTTGTCTCGCGTTCAGGGCCCAAAACCACTACAAATTGGCGGCTTTCGATATAGTGTTGAAAATGCCGTACCGAATGTGCTGTACCTCGATTCAGTGTCTAGCAACCGTCTAAAGAAAAATGCCAGATGTTGCCACGAGTGGTTAACCCTCCTCCAATTGCTGAGTCGGATGCGCCTACTGCGATACTAATGGGTGCTTCGGTGTCCTGATGAGTAAGCATTGTTGCTTGAGTGATAAACTCTCTAACTGTAGAGAATGCTTTTCGCGCAGTGTCATCCAGATTGATGGATTTCGCATTCCCACGTAGTTGGTCGGTAAGAGGTTTCATAAGGGACGCGCATTTCGGTATGAACCGTCTATCGAAACTTACAAAGCCGTTAACGTGCGTAATTGTTTGATGGCGGTCGGTTCTGAGTAATCCAGAATGGCCGCCAATTTGGTTCTAAGGGGTCGGATGCCACGCCTATCGATAGTGTGACCTAGGAAGTCTAATGAGTCAGTTCCAATTTGGCATTTCTAAATGTTTACAGTAATGCCATGTTTTTGTAGTCGTTCGAAAACAAGATCCAGATGCTTGAGATGTGTTTCTCTGTCCGGACTTGCGATTAGACAGTCATCAACATACGCGTGTACGAAGTTGAGACCTCGAAAAACGTCGTCTATGAATCTTTGGAATGTTTGAGCAGCATTCCTTAGACCGAAAGGCATTCGCAAAAATTCATAGAGTCCGAAGGGAGTTATGATAGCTGTTTTCGGTATGTCGTCAGTAGCCATAGGGATTTGGTTATACGCTTTAACCAAGTCGATTTTCGAAAAGACAGTTGTACCTTTCAAGGTAGCTGTCAAATCGTGAATGTGAGGCAACGGGTAACGATCGGGAATGGTTTTCGCGTTCAATCGCCGATAGTCACCAGTTGGACGCCAATCGTTGCTGTCCTTTTTAGGGACCATGTGCAATGGAGATGCCCATTGGTTGTTTAAGGGTCTTGTGATACCTATGTCTATCACGTGGTCGAATTCGTTTTTCGCCAACTTTAGCTTTTCGGCGGCCGGTCGGCGTGCCCTAGAGAACACAGATGGTCCTGCAGTCGTGATGT